TAATATATAGTTTTTAAATGCCATGAAGATTCGTAGTTATTACTCTATTATTCGTTATCGTTACCTTTAAGAAAAACAAGGTGTGTCCCCATGCTCAAATGGGCATTGATCGGTGCACATCTCCATTGGTAGCCCTTACCCAGGAGTGTAAATTCCACATTCACATGGCGAGGACCATCTCTCCAAAAGACAAATACATTTTGTCCTGCAGAAAAGCGGTATTCATGTGATTCCCTCTGGAGAGATGATGGAATTAGTTGACTCATAAGAAAGATTTTAATTCACGAGTGTGATGCAGGTGCTGTACTCCAGTGTCACCTGGCAATATTGATAAATAATTATGGGAATTAAAATTTAGGGTGGAGCGGTGGCATGTGTGGATAGTGCGCTGCGCTATTATGAACCTGATGACCTAGCAGGTTTGTCTCAAAGCCATGGCTCACTTCAGTGGTGAGTGATGTTTCAAATGTACTGGGCCTCCTTCCCAACTTGCACTGACCAGCATGGTGAAATATGGTCAAACATCTCCTCTGACTGATGCGGAATGGGGAGGTATTTATGCAGCAGTAGGATTGACAAGGGATTTCATAATTATTTTGATTATTTCGTGATGAACTGAGTGTAAAGTAATGTAGCCACATTTAATTAATTATATATTTGATCACTTCTGAAATAAAATCCACATTCCATATATTGTAATAATTGGTTATCTTGGCTCCTTTCTAGGAACTGTTTTTGTTAAAGGCACTTGAGAAGCACCGAGCTTGCAGCATCTACAAACATTTGTGTATAATTAACTGCGTATGGAAATCCACTTAACGCAGCCCATCTGACTCCTTATTGAACAGCAAGTGCTCGTAAATGCTGTTCATTAGAGCGTGTTTGCTCCTCTCGAGAGCACAAATGAAACCACCCCATCGTTGTGTCCATTGCATCTGCTCGCCCAGCGAGCATTATTAATTACAACAAATGCTCTCTCCTCTCATATACTGCAGCGCCAATCCTGAATTAAAGTAAAAAAAATCGTGAAAAACAGCCACTGCCAATACTACAGCCATCCCAGCAGCAGCAGCACAATCATCCCACCAAGTTCCCATGACTCCCCAGGTCTCAACGAGCTTTTGTGAACAGTCCGGGTCAAGTGATGCGTGGGGGATGGGGGGAGAGAGTGGTGCTGGCACTTCTCAAAGATCCCATCTCTATTCCATTACGCATCGTTCAGAACAACGTGGGCGTTAAGAGGACGGAGTGGGGGCCCAACGCAGAGCGGCTGCCCTGGTGATGATAGCGGAATGCGTGGCCACAATAACCCAACCAGCAAACACCACAAAAGCCACACAGAGCCCATGTGAGAGTCTTTGCGGAACGTTGGATAAATACAGGGAGGGCTGCTTAAAAAAATGTTGGGAAATAAATCATACCGCATTCCTTGAATTTATTCTAAATAAGGGTTGGTGAAAAAATATGCACGTTCGCACTTAACGAAGCATTTGGTCAAGGTTCGAAAGGAGAGTTCACCACTTTCCCCTCTAAGGCCCTTCTACATGGTCACTGTCAAGCAATGATCCATTCCTCCTGACAATGATTCATTGGGGCCTGCACGGCCTTGTCATTGTGTGGTCCAGTTGAGTTGCAAGCAGGGCACACACGGCCCCGCACGTGGGTTATTCCACTCAAACATCAATCAGGACATTGCTCAAGTTGAATTTGCGTTTCCCACGTGAGAGCCAAATTTGGAAATAATTTGCACCCCATTTTAACACCAACCCATCCATCACCAAAAACTGATTACGTAAAAAAACACTTGAATAGGCAAACAATGTTGATGATGCATGTTTTTTTTGTTCTGATAAACAGTAGTGTGGTATAAAAAATATAATGTAATATATTATGCTTATGTCAATATGTCAAGCTATTGTGTAACTAATAATTGAGATATCTTTATCGATTCACCATTGGATCAGGTCCTCTCCTTGCTATACCAGTCATAAGGGTTATTTGACCATACTTCACCATGTTGATCAATACAGTTTGGTGAAGGAGTGGGTGGGGGCTGTTTAGTGTAGCGGTTAGCACGCTGGACTACGAACCCAGCGACTCGTGTTTGATTCCCACTCACGGCCACTACCAGTGACGATTATCTGAACCGGTCCCAGGCCTCCCCTAGGTCGACTCAGTCTCATATGAGTAGCTGATGCGGGGTGTAAATATCACCACTAGAGGGACAAAGGCGGCGTGGTGCTGGCCACCCACCCCCTCGTGTGCCATATCGGCCTTCATAGGTGCTCGCTAACAGCACTTGCTCCTACAGTCTGTCAAGGCGAAATGAGATCTTGGTCTTCGGGGCTGGGGAGGGGGGTGTTCTCCCAGGATTGGCTCAGATCTCACTCGCCACTGATGTTAGCAATGCCTGGGAATCACAGCCCAGGACGCCAGATTAAATAATGCAATGTGCTAACCGCTGCACCACCGCTCAACTCCATTCTATGCCGTATGGTTTACTAATTGGCAAGTGGCAAGACTATTGCAATATACCTATAAGTACTCGTCAGAGTACTCTAAAGTACAAAGTTGGAGTACTGTCGTCGAAAGGACTCGGCCAGTTGCCATCTGCCATGTGCAAGACACGGCACGTCACTATGTATGTTGAACTTCTTTCGCGCCGTACGCAGCCAACCGTGCTGACCGAATGGGTGGTCGAGGCTAATGACTGAATGACAGCCAAAGGGATGGGAGCACACCCGAGTGGATGAACCACTGCGGCGATGGAGTGATGAAATTAGCTCGTGTGCAGGAGCCAGATGGATTGTTGCATCACGTGACCGTGAGAGATGGCGGCTTGAGGAGGCATTCATCCAGCATTGGATAAATGGTTGACGATGATGAAGGCAGTGTTATTAAGAATGGTTTATTTGTGCTTGTACGCTACCACCAACGCAGTCGGGTTTTCTATGATTATTCTCGAGGCAATTGGCTCCAAATCGCAAGCTGGACATGGCATGCAGTCCTTTGAAACGATTCGAAACTTAATCAAGCTTTTCTACGTATACATTCTAAACAAGCAGGAAGAAATAAAAAAAATCCCCCATGTCCAAAAACGAAGTTTGGAGCGGTGCTCATATCCACTTGCCGGCCCAGATTCAGTGGTGAAACATTCCACATTCCACTGGCGGGGAGCCACTCGGACCCGTACGTTAATCATTAACGTCTCAAGCATCTGGCTGCCAACATTTGGTTGGCATGCACTAATAAGTCGGCGAATGCTACCGAAGTGTGCGGCAGGTATGTGAGCAATGCGTGGAGCATGGTTTAATTCCGAACGGTTTCCACGAGTTGCCTCCACGGGTGACTCACGAAGCGGCAACATTCCTCTGTAGGAAGTCCTTATAAGGAGCCGGGCTGGAGCTTGCCATAGGAATTCCATCATTTTTGGACAGCGCCCCCGTGTGCAATCCGCTTTCGCGGCGCCGACGTACAACTCTCGCCAACGGAAAGTTATTGTAAGGCTGTCGATGCAGGCTCGCATGGAACGTCTGAACATTTTTTTTCCCACCCGCATTGATTGCAGTCGTGGTTGCATAAGAGGCATGGTGGCATCATATGAATTCGTTCAATTCGTTGCTTGTCTGTTGTGTTTTTTTTGTTGAAAGCATAACGTGTGCAACGCAGACGTGAGCGTTGCGCACGTTACAATGATGGATTTTTAAACCGACGGACATTATTGACATTGCGAGTGAAGTCTACCTGCTCACGTGAGCTTTGGGTGGCGCTGTATCTTCGTCGGTGGTCCCGAGACAGTCGTGGCAATTCGACGTTGCTATGGCGTGGACCAGGTGTTTCCCGATGCACGAGGCATATGCGGTCATTGTGCATGCTGATGACGATGCAGTGCTGTGCGTTACATGCCGACTTTAAAATAACATTCAAGACAATGCATTTGGCGTGGGCGTTATCAGTGCTATGATGATGATGCTGCTGATGTTGTAGGAGTAACATGTGGTTTATTTTTCCAGGCACTCTGCTATCGGCCTACTCAGCCTTAAATGGTCACTTGGAACGCAGTGCAAAGATTCATACCGAGTAAATAAAGGCGGCCAGTTATGCGTGGATGCTTGCCCTTATCACGCCGACATTAATAGGTGCTCGCTGACCGCACGTGATCCTGTGGTAGTCAGAAGGATTTAGTCCTCGGCTTTAAAACCTAACCACTCGGTAGCACATTTGTGAAATAGCCAAAAGGTGGCCGTCATTTATCGAATGCCACCACGCCGTGGGAATGTGGAATTGCCGGCACTGGCTCAACACCACCGGCGAAGATTTGCGTCAGGGATGCCCTGAAACTTTCTTGTGGGGAAATCACTTTTTTTTTTTACTAAACGGAGAAAATCTGCTTATCGACAAAATAAAATGTGCACACACGAACACACAAATGCCCAAAATCCTCCGTGTTGACATCCAGGTGGGGCAAGTTATGTTAGCGAGCACCTATTAACGTCCTTAATACGTACTCACATCACCCCCAATGCTGATCTTCACTCATCACACCATGTAGGCACATGACTCACATAAACCTGTATCCAGGATAGATGTTTCTATTCCCACTGATCACTGTTGACATTGTCTCGCTTGCAACACTAGTGTTTGCATGGGCACACAATCATATTCCACGTTGTTGGGGCAATAGCTGTTCGCGACGTTCTTCTTAAGACCGGTCGCCTTTCTTTCCCCAATGCTGATGCTTCCATACCGCACCAGGTATACGCGTTCAATGCTGAGTCGACCTATGGAAAACCACGAAACGCTTCAGATAATCACCAGCTGCTGTTAGCCGTGAGCCAGGAATCAAGCTCAAATCACCGGTTTCGTAGCACGATGCGCTAACCGCTACGGCCACCCACACACACACATGCGCAAAGCACACGTACACACGCGTGCGTGCAGGCAGACAGGCAGTCAAAGTTGATTTTTCCGTCTGGCCGGAGGCTTACGGCTTTTGGGCGGCGCATTGAGTCATTTCCCTCCTCACCCTCGCGGCACGGAGGAATGGTGCGTGTCTGGGAGTCGGGTGTTGGTGCTCCGAGCCAGGGAGATCGGTGCGAAAGTAGCATTCACAGCCCGAGCCAAGGAATGCGAACTCCCACTCCCCTACCCCCTCGTTCACCCCCTCATTCCCCGTGGAGAGCGGGGGTGGGGGGAATGAGAGGGGTGGGTAGGGAGCTCAAGGGTATAAATGCAGAGAGGGAACCCTCCGTGCAGCAATCGGTCTTTCCTACCCAGTCGAAGAAGCAAGAAAGAAGTGGTTCAGATTTCTAAGCTCTCTCTCTATATATATACCTACATCAGCAAAGTCTTAGCTGAGTGTGTGAAAGAAAAGACAGCAACCTTAGCCTCCGCTTGCGCTCGAGATCGTCATGGCAAGAATCATCATTCCTCTGCGTGGTCCTTATTGCCAGCCTCTATCAGGTAAGCAGCCTTCTGTCTGACAGCGGTTATGGGGCTCTGCTGAGTTTATTTTCTGGTGACGTTTTTTGTCCGGGTGGTAATAAGAGTGCACATCTTTTAGGCGTCACGGTAGCTAGCGCGTTGGCAATTGTTGGTTGGAAACAAGCATGAGACTTACTACGACGGACGTTTGCGAGATTGCAAGGCGCCTTTGTCCAGGTGTTGCGTTGTATGTTTTTTTTATACATTTCACACACACACACATGTGCGCCCTGTAGATTACGTGGGCGATTTGTAAATTTTGAAAAACGCAACGTCCGATTAAGTTGTGAGTTTAAAGAATGCCGTGTAGGATGCCCCGCGCTCAAGCGATCGCTGAGCGATGCTCATCTCTGCTTTGCAAGGTTCCGAGCGAGTAAATGTCGATTCCACGTTGCTATGGCAGACAGGCGGGGGCGGAGGGAAGGACCAGTATATCCATGGGACAGCCACTTAATTTTTTAAACGCGGTGACGAAATTGCATTGCGTGGATTTTCTTTGCAAATTCTAACTTTGTGTGTGTCTCTGTGTCTGTGCACCACAACAACAACACATGCGCACACACACAGGCTGCGTGCCAGCAGTGCTCCAATGTCTGCCGCTGCCCGAAGGAGCCCCCCGTGTGCCCCGTGGGCGTGAGTCTGGTGGCCGACGGCTGCGGCTGCTGCAAGGTGTGCGCCAAGCAGCTGGGAGACGTGTGCACCGAGGCGGACTCGTGCGACCCGCACCGCGGCCTCTACTGCGCCTTCAGCACCGATCTGCAGATCAGGATCGGCGTCTGCTCTGGTGAGAGGCGTGAACGCGCACCCGGAGCGCTCAGACACACGCGCGCGCAAACACGCACACACACGCCGTGGGACACGTGGCATATACCGCCTGGAGCACACGCGTGGCTCACACACGCATGGCTCACACATGTAATGGGTCACACTCTCTTATCTGGATGACGCAAAAACTTGAAGCGCACACGTATATATAGCCTCCACGGGTTTGTTGGAGCAAGTGCTGTTGATGAGCACTTACGCAGGCCGACACGGCACACGAGGCGGTGGGTGGCCAACACCACGCCCGGCCGTCTTTGTCTCCCTAGTGGCGATGTTTACGTATCGCCCCAGTCACTCATTCGAGGCGGAGACGACCTAATCGTCACTGGCGTTGACCCGTGAGCACAAATGGAACTCGGGTCGCCGGCTTTGTAGCGCAGTGCGCTAACCGCTACGCACACACAGATTCACGGAACACATCGTCGGGATTGCACACCTGGAACAAACACATCTGGCTCACTCACACCTTGCGTAACGAGAAGACAGTGGCTATGGGCTCCACCTGCAGGGCGAGTGTGCGCGTTGTAGCTTCACTGTGCTGCACGGTTAAGGTGGAGGCGTCTTCTCTTTATAAAAAAAAAACTAAATTAAACTTTTTATTTCAAAACGAAACTTTTTATTTTACCAGGTAAAGCCCACTGAGCTATATAGAAAAAAAAATTCATAAGCGACCTCGCCATAAATGATAGCTCAACGAAGTGGCTTCATCACGTGCAAATTGAAAGCAGCGAAATACTCTCTATCATGAACGCATGGAGGAGGGGGGGGGGGGAAACCCGGAGGACCCGGAAACAAAATCCAGCAAGCGGGCTGAGAGACCGAACGCTCTCAAACCAGGCTTGGGAGCTACAGGGATTAATCGTGGGGCGTTCCAATGGATACCTCTGGTGTTCATTCGTGCGCGTATTTATCCTGTGCAAAAAAAAAAATGTACCAGCTGCTCTTACATTGAGGAGAGAATGTAAACAACACGAGCGCGAATTATGTGCAAGAGTGCAACACTTGTCAGTCAAATGTAAACAAACTTAATATTTACGGGGCAAAAACAATCTCCAAGTATGTGGTGGAAAACGAACGCATCCTTCGACGAAATTTATATTTAAACGTAATAAAAAGTGGTCAAAATGGTAAAGTGCCAGAATTGTAACTGCGAATGTTGTTGTCCTCCATCGCCATCTAGCGATTAGAATGGTGCACTTACATTATCATCATCATCACCGTCATTGGCGATGATGTGTTGTTAATCACTGTTGAGTACAAATACAACGCTTGGTTGGCCAAATATAGCATTTCCAGCACATCTTTCGAGAGGGCACTCGTTCACTATTGCACGACACACAAGCGGACGTCTAACAGCGCATTAGTAAAATTACTGTACAGCCTTTTCACAATCCACTTACTAGATAAAGGGCTTTCCTTCACATTTTTACCCCAAAGAATACGAATTCCTGCAGTCACTAAACCTTTAAGTCAAGATTGAACTTAACCCCTTCCCTTTACCCCTTCCTCTTGACCGTGCAGCTCGCGACGGAGTGCCGTGCGAGCTGGGTGGCACCGTGTACCTCAACGGCGAGAGCTTCGAGCCCAGCTGCAAATACCGCTGCACGTGTGTGGACGGAGCCATCGGCTGCGTGCCGCTGTGCGCGCAGGACGTGCGGCTGCCCAGCGCCGACTGCCCGCACCCACGGCACGTCAAGCTGCCCGGCAAGTGCTGCGAGGAGTGGGTGTGCGACGGACGCAAGGAGCCCAACTCCACGCCACTCGGGGGATTCGCCCTACCCGGTAAATATAAACAACAACATAAACACGTGGGGATTGGGGTGCAGTGGTGGGGGTGGCGGGGAGATGATGGGGGGATTTGCACGTGCCAATTGACTAATCGTCCCACCTCTACACCCAATTGACCTAGAGTTGTATTCACGATATACTCACTCGCCCATGGCATTAACAATCTGTCAAATTTCATGGGAGGCTCAACCGTGACCCATGGTGAGCTGGCAGTCCCTCCCTTCATCAGCCCCTCCCACTTCTAAATAGCCACGCCCACTCCGTCACTGGCCCCGCCCACACAGTGAGCGTGGTGCCCTTCTCGCCTACCGCTCTGATATTGACCTCGCCTACCGCTCAAGGGCTCCGCACACTCCCTCCGCCAACGACACCCACAATGTTTACTTGACAGCCCCTTTTAAACCCACCACTGGACACTAACGCATTCGCACAACACCCCTTTTTTGCCTGTTTCAAGGCCGTAATTATAATGTATATTGGTGGGGACACAGGTTGTACTTTATTAATCCCTAATCTCTGCCATTACATACAATGAAACAAGAAAAGGTAAAAAAAGAAAAAACAGAGCAATGTAATACAATACACTATTAGACATTATTGTAATAAATAATTAAAAAGACCATCCTATGTGTTAGTGAATTTTTTAAATATTTTAGACAAGAAATGACAGTAAATTAGTTATTAAAATTTAGATTTTTTTTTCTGGGGGGGGGGAACCCCAGACCCCCTGGAAGATTTGGTGCCCCCCCAATGTTGACTCGATGGCTACGGCCTTGATTTGTTTTAAACCACACTTCACAGCGGCGATGAAAATCACAACAACGCACTAACGCGCGCATCGCCTTCCTCCCCGTCCTCTTGCGGCGCAGCGTACCGCCAAGAGGAGACCTACGGCCCCGACCCGGAGTCGGTGCACGACAATTGCATCGTGCAGACCACCGAGTGGAGCGCCTGCTCGCACACGTGCGGCCTCGGGGTGTCGTCGCGCGTCACCAACGACAACCGCCAGTGCCGCCTCGAGCGCCAGACCCGCCTGTGCACGGTGCGACCCTGCGACGTGCCGCTCCAGGATGTCATCAAGGTACGTTTGCTTTGGGGCAAGGGGGCCCCGGGTTACGAACGCATGGGGGGTCAGCCGGAGAATTGGAAACAAATGGCACGCGAATGCAACTCGCACTCCTCCTCCTCTGCGTTAGCGGGCGCACGAGAATCGTCCAAGGCGCTCGTGTTGGTGGGTCACCGCACACTGCGTCTGCCACCCGAGATTTGATTATTATCTGAACTGGTTCCGGGCCTCCCCCCAAGGTTGACTCGGCCTTAAATGAGTACCTGGCACAGTGTGCAAACATCAGCACTGAGTCGGGGCAATGTTTCCGGCCACACAACCCCCTGGGTGTGCCGTAAACCCTGCTGCCTTCATCGGTAGCTGCCCAGCAACAGCGGTGTGCGGCCACACAGAATCTCAACGGTGCGTCCGGAACGACACTTTTTTTCCGTGGGTCGTATCAGTAGTACCCGCGACCAACCCGCTTGCGCACGCATTGACCCGCGTCTCTTTCTCCCTCTCCCTCTGTCAACCTGTCCGCAGAAGGGGAAGAAGTGCATGCGCACCCCGAAGGCGGCCAAACCCAAGCGCCTCGAGTTCTCCGGCTGCACGAGCGTCAAGACGTTCCGGCCCAAGTACTGCGGGCAGTGCACAGACGGCCGCTGCTGCACCCCGCACCACACGAGCACGGCTGCCGTGGACTTCCGCTGCCCCGGCGGCGAGCGCCTGCGCCGGCAGGTCATGGTCATCCACACGTGCGCCTGCCACTACAACTGCCCCGGCGCCAACGACGTCTTCGACTCGCCCTACCAGCGGCACATGATCGGCGACATGGCCAGGAAGTGAACGGGGCTTTGCCGGCGGAGACGAGACGGACAAGTGTTACCAACCATTCCCCAACCCCATCGCAAACGGGGTTGATTCCTTACCTGTACCCGTACCCGGCCGCACCAGGGTCGCAATTGGGTACCCGTACCCGGCCAGGTACGGGTACCCGTTCCCTACCCGTAGCCGGGTATCGGGTAGGGTACGGGTATCGGGTACCCGGTTGCGACCTCCTGCCGTGGCCCAGTGTAGCTGGAGTGGCAGCTGGCCTGGGCCCGTGGATGAAACGAGAGCCCTCTACTGGCAGGGCAGACCCTCGAGTATGGCTTTACATTATGTAACTCAGTTTGGATGTGTTGCATGTACCCGTTTTTGTCAATCCACTGCTAGATGAGGACCTCCCTCACGCCGTTGCAGGCCGAGGGATATTTGACCATACTTCACCACGCTGGTCATTGCGGGTTGGTGAAGTTAGGGGGTTGGTGGGGGTGCAATACAGCAGTTAAGTTTGCTGCACTGCCCTCTACTGCCCACAGCGCCTGGTGCAGTATTGGGCATGGTGGCCGATCACATCTCCAAGTGCTGTACAGGCTCTGGCCTGCTTGGCTTCTGAGATGCTAGCTTCGAAGATCTGACGAGATCGGGCGCGTTCCGAGTGAATGGTCCTAGGCCACTTTAGATAGGAGTGAAATTTGTAATTGATGTATGTGACTCTACCCTCCGAAAAACCTTGAAACTTGTCTCGGGGGTTGTGTGAAATATGAACTTGGCTACTTATGAATGTGGTGAATAATTAGATACAGTGGTGCGTACATAGAAAACTAAATCAATGCACATTGATGGGTTAATACGTAATCTTTAATCATGATTGACGATCTTTAGGCCAGAATTGCCTTTAGTGCACCTGAACGCGTTCCTCTAAGAACACAACTTTACGACTGTAAATATTCCTACTCTTGAGTTTATACTAATTAAACGTACAACGTATAATTATTGAAGCATAATTTTGTGCAAACTCATATAGTCCCTTATTTATAAAGTTCAACCTTTTTTTTTATATAATGTAAATGTAAACATATCTATGTGTTAACAAAGTGTGGTATGGTGACGTTTATGGGTCTGACATTCATTTCAAGTTCCGCGATATTTGACAACTTATAAGTTATTGATCATTTGGCACCACGTGTAGCCAATTCATATCTTAACAGTTTTCTCTGATATAATAATATATTTCTCATGCCTTTCTTTGGTTAATCGAGTGCAGATAATGCATTTCTAATTGGTTACCTTTTCAGGATGTAGTGACATGTTGTACATATTGTATATAACTTGTACAATGTTTAACTTATGCTGTATATCAACCATGTTGCTGTCGTGTTTCATTTCTTTTGTTTACGTGCTTTTTAGTTTCAGTGTATTAATATGCAGCTTATAGGGCATACCTATGTTTGCAATGTTATTGAATGCATTTGCACTTGTGCCATAAAGTTTATTTTTGATACAGTTCGCCGAGTTTTTGTGACATTGACCACGTTTCTGTAAAAAAATAAAACCTGACTTGGTCAACCTGTGGGAATATTTGGGCTAAGATCGACAAAATGTTTTCATTAAATGAAAGAAAAGGATGCCCCGATAGCCTAAACAGACTGTTGGGGCAAGCCCTGTGAGCGAGAACATGATCCTCATGGCGGTGCCCTGGGGCAATTAAATATTTTATTTCTGGGACACAATTTTTTCCAGGGGTGTACTTAACTCTGCGACTGGGGTTCCAATCAATCCGAAATCAGTGCTACTCCACGATGTCGAAACGCAGCGAGGACGATTGCGTCGAGACCCTGAACGCTCGCGGTACGCACCGTAGTGGTGCATCGTGTACAGCTCGTCGAGGTGAGTCGATTGCCGCATCGTCGACCATCAACAGACTAAAAATGACTACATCACGGACATTATGCGAGAGCCGGGGCACTATGGAACCCCGGGGTACCGCCATAAGGTTCATATAAAGGCTGGCAGGGCACACGAGGAGGTGGATGGCAAAAACCACGCCCGACCGCCTTTATCTCAATAACATCTTCCCAATACTGACGTTTACACACTGCACCAGATACTCATTTGAGGAAGAGTCAACCTAGGGGAGGCACAGGACAGGTTCAGATATTTCTTACCGACGTTGGCTGTGAGCAAGAATTGGGTTTGCCGGCTTCATAGCACAGTGCACTATCTACCAGAGGTGGGACAAAATCATTGTTATGCAAGTCCAAGTCGAGTCTGAAGTCGTCAAATTCATGACTCGAGTCTGACTCGAGTCCAAGTCGCATGACTCGAGTCCACACCTCAGAGGTGGGACAAAGTCATTGTTATGCAAGTCCAAGCCGAGTCTGAAGTCATCAAATTCATGACTCGAGTCTGACTCGAGTCCAAGTCACATGACTCGAGTCCACACCTCAGAGGTGGGACAAAGTCATTGTTATGCAAGTCCAAGTCGAGTCTGAAGTCATCAAATTCATGACTCGAGTCTGACTCGAGTCCAAGTCACATGACTCGAGTCCACACCTCTGCTATCTACTACACTACTTCTCCCTATTACATCAACACACCCACAGGCATGGACAGTCACACATATACCTACACAGACACATCCACAGATACACAACCACAAATCCGCAGGCATGCATATACCCACATATGTCCGCATGGAAAGACACCCACACCCCCGCACATATCCACATGAATACACCATGATCCACTGGTCCAAACTCTCATTCAAAGGGACACACAAATGTGTGCACACACAAGACAGCCACAGAAACACCGTCACATAAGACATTCATGCACACGTGTCCATAAACACACCAGCACTACATCAGCACCACATCAGGACGCCTTTGTCTTTACCTCTATGAAAACGTTTACACGGTGCACCGGCAAATAATTTAAGGGTGAGTCGACCAAGGGGAGGCCCAGGAATGATTGCTATTGGGAAGTGAAATCAGATTTGTAGCGCATTGCGTCAATCACTACACCACTCATACTCACACACCTCCTATTAGCACGGTTGGCTACGTACCATGCGAAAGAAATTCAACATAAACAAATATACACCCATACAGGCCTCTATGGACGGATGCCCATACTCAAAGCCGAGAATCTACAACATATTGAGTCACTCATTTGATTGATTTTTATTGACAGACCCAGGTTTAGAGACGATGAACATCCGCAAGCTTCAAGAACTTAGCCTCAGCGGGGAGACCAAGGGACAGTCAAGGTGTCTCACTTTTGGGGGGGGGGGGGGTGGGTGGAGGGGTCAGGAAGAGGCAGTGTCATAGCTTGTCAAAAAATCCATCTTAATTGATGGCACTGTAGCATAAAATGCACTACCCTATTAACCAGGAGAGAGAAAACCCAGTGAGACGTCCAGAGTGATTTTTTTTTAGCAAGGGCGACCTGGGAGGGCGAGCAATCTGGGACAAGAGATTTCAAATTTAGGGTCAGCCTGTCTGCAATAAACTGCTTGTAAACTTCCCACAAAGTGGTACTCATTTTGTCTACTCCAGATGGATGTCGACCGGAATTTGAGCTGGCATCCTTTAGATTGTGCATCAAATCGTTTTAGCACAGTGCTACCAAGCGAGTGTATGTGTAGGACTTGTATTATTTAGCACTGTAGACGATCCAAATTGAGTGTCACATGATTGATATACAAACACATGGTTTTCAGATTAATCTGACGATTTCCATTCTACCTTCACACACAAAATGAAGGCCGCTCAATCGGGTGTTCCTAAATTATATTCCACTTCCAAGCAAATTGCCAGCACTTGTCTAAGTCTTTGGAGCAGTGGGTGGTGTTCGGTAAAATCTTTCAATTAAAATCACACTCAATTGAAAACGAACTTGTAGACGATCGTTTGAACAGACAACACGATTTCACGGTCAGTATCATGATAAAAAAAACAACAACACACGATTAATATAATTAGAGATTTCTTTTTTTTTTTAGAATGCCCATGCATTCAAATTTGCTTGGCTGAAAATTCTAAAAAGTTAATTGTACATTCTTCAATTAAAATTACAACATTACTTATGGCACTAGAGCTCGGTTTCAAAGACGTGCAGGTAAGTCTTGGAGCGGAGGACTTGGTTCTGGTCACGGCTGGGATCTTGGTAGAAGCTGAGGCCAGAGAGAAGCTCAACATCGCGGACACGCGCCGTGTGAGTCCTCATTCGCTCCTCCACCCATGCTTCCTGAGCCGCTCCGGTCTGCAGCAAAACCACAGGGACAATACGCAAGGTTACTGATGTTGGCAGGCTGCGCTGGCATGGTGTGGGGAAAAGGTGGCATAGCGAGCACATTGTGCTATGAGCCCGGCGACCAGCGGCGTTCGCATATGCGGCATGGGTCCTGGTGCAAGAAAGGAAAGAGTGTGACCCTTTCCCAATTCCCCTCCTCTTAACCCTTTCCCATTTAGATGAGGTACGTGTTCATCATTTTAATGGAACCGGAAGAAAAAGTTAAATAAAATAACTTTATCGGTACCGAGTTTGGCACCAGCTATCATAGAGTGCAGTGGTGTCGCTACAATTCTCTGCGGTGAGTACAGTGTCTTTAAATATTATTAACGCTGAACCGTTCCGAGATTCAGTGGTGAACGGGATCCAACCTGCAACTTGCAGTCATCTCGGAACGGGAAAGGGATAATAGTCTGTCGCCTGATAACCTCCGGCCTGTGGGCTCCAGTGCAGTTGCAACACCTGCACACGCAATAGCTACGCCACTGCCGGCGACCCGAAATCAATTCTCAGCCGCAGCAAACACGAGTGGCGAGTGTGGCAAATGAACCTGTCCCGGGCCCCTTCTTCCTCCGACTCGCGCACCAAGCAGCTCGGCGAGACATGGTCAAACAATCTCCAATGACCGACACGGACCAGAGGTCCTTTACCCAGCACTTGACGAAGGTCTGGCAGATGCCAAGCGGGCTACCTGGCAACTCTCGCTGTTGTCGGGGCGGTGTGGTAGAACGAAGGCGGTGTTGACTACTTGGCCCGTGCAGTTCCCAGCAGGCTGACCTTTGCAGCTTGTGAGCACCACGAAGTAGTGCGTGGGGATGGGAATGTCCGTGCCCTCTACAAACCTGCCACTCGAAAAAGCACAGCGAGCACGGCAATCACGCACAACACTCCGAATGCAGTTTGACCAATGCATATACAGGGACTCCTCGAACTACGAACGTTTGACTTACGAACTTTCAGAGATACGAACAAACCTGTCCGTATGTCCGGTTGCCTGTTCGGACCGAGAGTCGTAAGTTCAACCGCTGCGCAATAGGTGGCGGTGGTGGCATCTACATCTGCAGAACATGAAGAGCCAGTGGCATCTACATCTGCATGAGATTATTAACTTTTACAGCCATGTTGTACATGCCGTACAACATGTTTGTAATCGACAGGAGTAACGTTGGACTTACGAACAGACCTCTGGAACCTAACTCGTTCATAAGTAGAGGAGTCGCTGTATAACGCAGGCAGTAAAGCGTTGCTTAGTTGATCAAATGAATTCACATTTCACTCATCTGTCACCCATGCCCACCGTGTCTCACGTTCTTCTGGCCGTGATCCTCACCGAGAACACAGAGTTGGTTATCGTTCAATCAAATTGTCAAAGTTCGCACGTACACACGCGTTGTCTTCTTGCTTCTGCTCTACGTGTCTCTGTCACTCAAGGGCCCCAAGTCACCTCCGCATTTACTCGAGGGCTGCAGGGTGCCCCACGACCTCTCACTCATCAGCCACCACGCAGACACGAAGCCTCCAGGCGTTGTTAAAGAACCATCGTGGCGCCCCATCGAATCGTAGACTCACCAATACGACAGCACACTAACACACCCGCACACTAACAGGGCCTACACCGTGATAATTCCCATGTCGTGACACACCCCGGACAGCACAACTCCCCCCCCCCCCCCCCCCCACAGTGCCTTCTTATGCACCTCTCACGTCCTCTGACGTGGGAGTCACATGACTGCCCAAGTGGATCTGGGGGGAAGAGGTTGGGTCTAAAAAGTACCACTCAGTTGCCCTTGGCCAATCATCACCCAATATTACTCGTTGCTATTACGCAATTACCACACGTTCGCCACGAGGTGGCGCCAATAGACACACAACTTATGATAACCATAACCACACCTGTTAAACATCCACGAATGAGCCTTACAGATCATTGCGTATGGTCGTACAACACCCATGACCGAGATGGTGTGTGGGGAGGCCTTTATCCAGCGGTGGAGTGAAGGGCTTTAAATATCTGGCATTTCTCAGATGGTGCAGGGAGGTCAGTTGAATCTGGGGGATGTGCTTACTCCGCAATATCTTCTGGTTTGTCAGCGATGCCGTCGAAGTTGTAGTCAAAGACGGGACCGCTCACAACGTTAAGCCCATCTGACTCCACAGCGTACTTGACCAGCAGGACTTTGTGGAAGAAATTCCATAACTCTGAAAAGAGT